TACAGAATAAATGGCATGATTAAAGACCTCTGAGGCAGGCAAGAATGGGATTCATACATACTTTATTATAATCAGATTCCAATCTGGTATGTCTGATTTTCTTATTTAAATTTTACTTTGTTGCTTTTCAGTTTCTTAGCTTTTTTAATTTTAAAATTTAAGTTGGTTGTTCTTTCATTTATTGTTCCAGCGTACTGCATTCTTCCCTTATCCATGAGGGGAATATGTTCCAAGACCCCCAGTGAATGCCTGAAACCTCAGCTAGTACTAAACCTGAAATATGTTGTGTTTTCCTGTACTACATACCTTAATGATAAGGTTTAATTTATAAATTAGGTACAGCAGGAGATTAACAACAACTTATACTATAATGGAACAAGTATAACAATATGCCAGAATTACTACTCTTGCACTTTGGGGCCATTATTAAATAAAGTAAGGGTTCCTTGGACACAAGCAATGTCATACCGCAGCTGTTAGTCTGATCCCCTAAGCACTAATGGATGGGTAGCGTAGACAGCATTAATATGCTAGACAAAGGAAGGATTCATGTTCCTGGCAGGATGGCATGAGATTTCATCTTGTTACTCATAATGGTGCACAATTTAAAGCTTATGAATTGTCCGTTTCTGGAATTTTCCATTTATTTTTTTTTCAGGCCATGATTGACCTTGAGTAACTAAAACTATGGAAAGTGAAACCGCATATAATGGGGGGAATACTGTTTACCAGATGTAACCTCATTTTGCTCTGTATTTTGATCAAAACTTTAAGGCAAAAAATGACTCTTTAGGATTTTCATTATTATTTCCTGCCTACAAGACTTGCCCCTCCCAATTTTCTTTTCTGTTTTGCTTTAACACCTCATCATCCTTTTCCCCCGAAATACAAATACCATCTGTAGACTCTCTGGCTTCCCAGAAAGTTGGTGGCCAACAGGCCTATTCATTTTAGTTTGTTCAGCACAGTGAAAGCCCCTTTCTAAACATCTAATTTCTAATAGGAGATCATCTAAGAATCGCCGCAAAGCTGAGCGGAAGAAGCACAGCCTCAAAGAAGGGAGTCCGCTGGAGGATCTAGCCCTTTTGGAGGCACTAAATGAAGTGATACAGAACACTGAGAAACTGAAAGGTATATTCTCAATACTTATGATGATTTTTTTTTTTTTTTATAGGGTCTCACTCTGTCACCTGGGCTAGAGTGCAGGGTGTCGTCATAGCTCACTGCAACATCAAACTCCTGGGCTCAAGTGATCCTCCTGCCTCAGTCTCACGAGTAGCTGGGACCACAGGCACCCACCACCATACCCGCTAATTTTTGTGGTTTTTGTAGAGACGGGGACTTATTGTGTTGCTCAGGCTGGTCCCAAATTCCTGGTCTCAAGTGATCCTCCCACCTTGGTCTCCCAAAGTGCTGGGATTAGAAGAATGAGACACCACAC